TATTACAAGGACACAGAAAACAGCTGGTGTGCTTGAAAAGTCAGTTATCCGTCACTCAGGGCGATTTTTCCTCTGTGCAACACAGAAAGGTTCGGTCACTCCCTCCCCCTCAGATCATTTCGGGTAATTGTTAGCAGGTAGTTGAGGCACCGGGCACATGTGGCACAAATTACCACTGTCGTCTGTTTCATCAGCTGGCTTAAAATAGAAGACAGACGTGAATGAAAACACACTCCTTTGTTTTAGCATATATAATGAATACGGTGTAGTTTTTAAGCACAAACCATGAACATGGGCTGTGAGTACCGATGAGAGTGTGCCTTTGTGTGTGGACCATTAGTGTGTCTCATTGTCTTGTACAAAGCAGAGCACTAACAGCCCTCTATGTAAGACAGATCCACAGGTTCCCATTAGAAGTGAATGGAAGCCAGATGTTCCCAGCAAGTGAATGGGTGACACTGTGTGGTTGTGTGTGTGTTAGCTTGCTATTCAACCTTTTGTTATCAGAGTGAGGAGCTCAGGCAAGGTGTGTGTGTGTGGGTTGGTGTGTGTTTAGCTTTTTGCAGTGGAGAGAGCTGCCAATATTTCAATGTAACTCCCAGATAAAAAATACACTAGTACTAGTTATCTTGGTGGAGCCTGCAGGTTCAGGAGGGGTTACACGAGTTACCCTAAATTAAGGAAAAATGACTGTGTTTAATAATAAATATTTATGAAAATGGATTTATTAATATAGACTTGATATATTCTGACAGATAGCGGAATGATTCACTCCAGTAATACCAACTGTGTGTCTGCTGTCCTGTGTTTCTGTCTGTTTGATGTCTGGCTGCTATTTGCCACCTCTGTTCTTGTGTGTGCGCATGCAGATCACACAGAGAGTCACAGAGAGACAAAAATCTGCTGTGTGTCTGATGATTTCAGTTGTTTACAGTTTTATATTTTAGTGGTATTATCTTGATATTTGAAAAGCAGGTCAATAAGGTTTCAATCCTGGACTTTCAGACTCAGTCATCTACTGGTTTATATTCTACCTGTCTAATAAGGGGTGGATCAAAATATTGATACAGGAGTATATCATATGACTTCCTCTTGTGATAGGTTATCAATACACTTGTGCCAAATATCAATGCTTTTATTAAAGCTATAGTTGGTAATGTTGGAGAGCTAGCAAGATTTGAAAGGGGCACCTCCTCTAAGCTCCGCCCCCTCCTCCCCCTCCCGTCAGTGCTCCATCCAAAGCCACGGCGCCACACAAGCTTGAACGCGCATCCTGCAGTCAGCAGGGCAGAGGAGAGCCGAGTAAAATAACAAATCCCCCCGAAGCAAACAAATAATTACCTGTCTAACAGAAAGCCAGCAACCTCTGCATCACTTTTAAGGCCCTTCAGCTCCCTCAGTTGTCTCCACCGTTCAAAAGCTGCACCGATGCTGACGTCTGGTTTGTCCTCTCGCTTCATCCAAAGCCTTTTTCGTTGCAGCCTTTTCTGCCTCTGACTTTCTTGTCTCAGCCTGTTTAGCGGGGCGAGCTGTTACAAGTAACGCTGGAAATGATACTTTTGCTAACTCGGTATTTCTGCTGAGTGTGCTGAATATTTCCGGCAACGATGACACATGATGAGTGCACGCAGGGAGGAGGGAGGGAGGGACGGAGGGGGGCTCGGGCAGGACGAGACACGAAGGCATCTGATTGGTTCTTTCCATTTGCACCGAATGGCAGGGATTGGTCAGAGTTTTTACGGGCCTGCAGCTGCCACAGAGGTCTGATTTTTTTCATTCCTTTTTCTGAACACATTATGTATTGACTACTCTCAGGGTGGAAGGACCATTTCACCTAATATAACAAGAAGTGTTTCTGAACAGGATTACCAACTATAACTTTAACTCTGAACTGATTCAGGTGCCAGTATGACTTACCAGATTCACAACTTAATGACTCCTCATGGCGGTTGGTTATCAAATGGATAAGGGTAAAGTGAACGGAACCAACTTGCAGTGAAGAAGAAACTCACAGGGGGAAACAGCAGACAGTGTGGAGTCGAATAGCTGCAGAAAACAAATCAGAGAGGCACTGTCATCTTTCAGTTCAATTCAATAAGCTTTACATGACATTTCTTACGTGTTGCCAAAGCACAATTACAATTTAAGACAGTGAAAATTAAAAAAACAATTAACAACAATGTATTTTTTCAAATGCATTGACATAAATTTTAAAGGAGAAAAAAAAAACATTAAGTGAAGGAGTAAATAAAAAGGCAGAGCGTGATCTGTGATGAGCTGAACTATATGTTGTTGTGTTGGTTGTCTCTTAGACTGTGACATGCATTGACATCTTGTTGCATCTATGGCGCGGACACTATTTTTCTCCAAGTAGAAGATTTTTTTGTAATTTATTTGTTATGAACTTTGTCCTGATGTCTTCATATGTGCCGCATTGTAGCAGGAAATGTTCCTCTGTCTCCACCTGTGTCTGTGGACAGAGTTGACACAGCCTGTCTTCTCTAGGCAGCCAGGTCTGCCTGTGCCTGCCAGTCTCTATGTCCAGGCTGTGATCACTGAGTCTGTACACAGTCAAAGTCTTTCTCAGTTTCTGATCTGTCACAGTGGTCAGATAGTTTGCCATCATGTCCTGTCTGTTTAGGGCCAAATGGCATTGAAGTTTTTTTTGGGTTTTTGTGGTAGTGTGTCCAATAGTTGATGTAGTTTTCTTTTTCTCAAGCTATAATTTGGTTGGGCTGGAATGCGTGAGGGTTGTCCTGACGCCTTGTGCTGTTAGAAGAGGTGAGCCTCAGGACTTCTTTCAAGTCAAAAGCCTGAGCTCACTTCAGCTCTTACAACCGAGCCAAACAAGATCAACAAAGACTGCGCAACATGCAAGAACTGTCTTGTAAAAGTTAAGTACTTTGGCAACCCCAATTAAACATGCACAGCCACCTGATAAGTCATCATCCTGATCTCATTTTGGAGAAAACTGTGAATCAGCCTACAATGTGTTTGCTAAAGCGACATTAAGTTAAGACTCTGCACTTTCTTGTACATTTTTTCATCTTGATTGGTCAAATTTGTTAAAATTGACACCACAATGCAGTGAATCAGTACACAATTCCAGATACTTGACTTTTTGGGGTATATTTCGTCTTCAGTTCCACAAACATCATAATGTAACATAGATGATTGTCTTGCAACTTATCAAGTATTGCAGAATCGCCATATCGTGATACCATTCTTATATGGGGAATGTACTGTGATAATATCTTGAGTTCCACTCTGATTGCCCCCCCTATGTCTAATCAGGGAGATTAGATACAAGAAGAATGCTTTTAAACAGAGTTTAACTCAGATACTTAATTGATCTGCCTCATTTCAAGCTATAATGAGTCCACCAAGATAAATTAAATGGATGCCAGAAACAGGTGCATTGTTTAAAATGTTCATGTCCAAAGCAAAACTGACAGTGGAAACAATCAAAATCATCTCAGGACAGACGTTTTACTTTTTGGCGAGAGGAACACCAGACAAAATGAGTTGTTAAGACGGACAACAGTCTCCCAAAACCCGAGGGAGAAGAATCTTGATGGAACTTTCCCCTTTGAGTGTGTATCACCACTACCTGAGCTTATCTCTCAATCAGATAGCTGTGCACATTTCTGACCTGTGATAAATTGTTTTGGCTGTCTCCTTTTTCTCTCGCTTTCTTGTTACCCTTGACTTGCTTTTTTTTTCGCTTCTCATTTACACCCTTCTCTCTTTCTAATGCGTCTGTCTCGGTTTTGCTTGAGAATTAGAGGTGTGAAATGTGATGTGGTGGCGAGCGGACAGGCAGCAGAGTGTGGCAGTGGTGGTGTTTCGGTGTGTTGCGTGTGTGTGTGTGCAGACCTGCATGTTTGCGTGCATGTTTCCCATTGAGGGGTGCCAGGCCACACTTTAATCCTGGCTTCGGCGGAGGTGCGGCCCACTCCAGATGGGGCCATTGTACTGCGCCATGCATCAATAATTCACGGAGAGCCAGAGAAAGTGGCGGAGTGTGTCTGCCTGCTCAATAATTAACCAGGGAGGGAGAGCGGCATGTATGTACAGCCTGGGTCTCTCTCCAAACGCCCATTCAAATGGCCTTTGATGTTGCGGGGCCTGGGGGGTCTTTGGATTTGTCGGCTCATTAAGACGTCACCCCTCTTTTCCTTTTATTTGTTTTGTAATCCGTTTTTGCTGTGAGCAGGAGCTGAATGTACGGTGTGAAACGGGCAAATCGCATAATTCGTGTGTGTCAGTGTGTGTGTAAGGCTGCAGTAATGACTGTTAAAATAGACGGTTGCCTGCCATGGTAGATAATGAGCTATTTTCAGTTCTGTGCACCTTCTGCTCTCTGCTCTCCTACTGTAGGTAGGACAGTGAATGGAGCATTATTCTGCCCCCATGCTCCTCAGTTCATCTGTCACACTGCGCTGTGGGTTGCAGTGCACATAAAGTCACGTTTTGTTTTCATCGCATCTGCTGCTACTAGACAATTGCTTAAAGTGGATTCGTTCAAACGACTATAAATAATGCAGCCTCTGACTTCACCTGTCCTCTCTGTTTCATCTTCTTCGCTTTCCTCGGTCTTATCACACATGATAAATTACTGTAAATATAGGGTCTGAAGACTATGTTTTTCCACAAGCATGAAGCAAAGAGACAGGAAGTAGCGTATATTACTTCTCTTCATGACAGGAGGTATGGTTAATTACATCTCATGACACCACATCTCTGTCATCTGCACGCACAGCCTCACCCATTCTCTACAGGACTTCCCTTTCTTCCACATCTCACTTCTCGCTCACTCTCTCCTCCTCGTGTTAAAATCTTGCACCTGATTTCAGTCTCACGTTTTAATCATCACCACTTCTCTCGCATACCTTACTTGAGTTAACTTTGTTCAAGCCCATCTGCTGTTTTCTCACTCTGTCGCTCCCTTTTTTTCTCTCTCTCTCTCGCCTCCTCCCCGCTCCCCTCCCCTCCATTAGAAATGAGGGAGTTGTCGGAGTTGCCCTGGCCTGCCCCAGTGGGTCAGCTGGAGGAGGAGCCCCCCGTCAGAGAGCAAGGTGACCTCCCACCCTGAACACAACCCTTCCCCCCTTCCCTACCTCCCTTTATCACCCCAAGCACACGCATATGCACTCACCCTGACCTTCATGACCCAAGCTGTTGTCTTACATCTGCTCTACCTCTGTCCTAAACCCCCCGCGGCCTGCATCTGCACCACCTGCATTTGTTCCCGCCTGTTGCAATTGTTGTGTTGTCAGTTTTTTTTTTTTTTTTTGGGGGGGGGGGGGTTTGAAGCTCTCCCTTCTTATTCCCCTCTTGCATCAACCACGCATGAACAGTGCCCTGTAAATTAACATGTCTGCCTTGTTCATTTCAGGACTATGGTACATTTAATGATTTAATGTTTAATTACAAGTTCTGTAGATTGAATTTCGGCAAAATCAGGCACATAAGGGGTAAATAACACTTCAGTCTGCGCACGTAATTTGCTCCAGAATAGAATCAACATCAAGTAATCTGCCGTGTAGTCTATTGGAAGACAAAGACTTGCACCAGAGCCAAGCAGGAAGACGCCAACTCCCTGTCTCTATCTGCCCTTAGTGACTCATAAAAACGTTGATGATGGTAACTGTGATGATGCTGATAGTTTTGCAGTCTGTCAGTCCGGGACCCCAAGCGGGACCTCTAGTTCGACCCATCCACGAGAGGGTCTCTCTACAGCATGCGTGGTTTTGCAATAGCCGGATGTCTGATGTTTACCCGAGTCTGGCTGTGAGGTTTAATCCCTTCCGATCATAGTGCTGTGTAAATACTCTGACTCACTTTTTCTGTCCCCATTTGCCAACAGTGCAGTTTGATGGCGCAGAGTGGGACCGTTCCTCGTCGCCCACAGAGCGGTTGCGTCCTCCGGGGGCCCGGTCCAGCCCGCTGGCAGGAGGGGGGATGAAGTTTAGGATGCCCCAGGAAAGCCACGCCATGGTTGGGGAGAGAGTAGACCCAACTCTGCCTCTGGAGAAGCAGGTGTATGTATGCAGTGTTCTGTTCAACACACAGGAGCAACATTAATGCATGCCAGTTGTGTCAGAGCATAGGTCAGTTAAGGTTTAATCAGATTAAGAGGCTCACATGCCCGTGACTTTGATAGTTAATGATTGAGTGTCTCTGTTGCCATTAATTTTATTACCTTGAATATAATACAGGAAAATTAATTGCTCTGTCACAGAAGAAAAATAGCAGTAATAATAGTGGTTATGTGGTTTACATCCACTAATAAAAGTGACTGAAAAATTACACATGAAATAATGCAGATTGTAAGATGTTTACATATCACAGAAATATCGCATTAAACAAGGCATTTCTTCTGTAGCATCATTCTGAATTGTAATGATTAAATGCATCAAACAAACCTAAATTATGCAATTATTTGTGCATGTAAATTTAATTAGCATAAACTATTAATCTCTGTGGGTTGTTAATGTCTCTGTGTGGCTGTAATGCACATTGATTTGTCATACACTGCTGTAAAAGCACTTTTTAATATTTGAGGTAGAATTACGTTGACATCCCACAAATAAAGCCAAAAAATCCATTTTATTGCACCGCTTTGATCTATTTAGGGCGTGGACACATTAAAACGAAACGGTTATGTGTTTCGGCTAAGCAGCGATCATCAGAGCTTACAGAAGTGCGAAAGGTTAGAATGAGAACTAATTAAGTTGGAACATTAAAAACACACATTTACTTTGGTCTTGTAATTTCAGACATCATTGGTGTAATTTATGTGCTGTTTGTGCGCACATAAAGGGCCGTTTTACTAATGAAATCCAAGCACATGACACCCCTTAAGCACACATGCACATGCGCACGCATTCACTTGAGGATGGCGGTTGATTATTATGCCCCATTACTCCCTGATGATCTCTTAAGGGCTGTTATGAGCTTTGTGTTTTCCTTCAGCTCTGCTTTAAACAGAGAAACAGCATCACTGTCAACCTGTAGCGTTCAGCACACCTCCCCAAGTCAGGTCCAAGAAAATCTTATTATTGTGGATGGCAGTGTTGGTCTGTGTGTGGGGTCGTTTAACATTCTGGATGGATTACCATGAAATTTTGTAGAGGCAGTCATGGTTCCCAGAGGATGAATCCTTTGGTGACTTTGGTGATGCTGTGATCTTTCCCCCTGCAGCACCACCATGAGGTTGACATTTTCTAAGAATAGATTGTCATAAAATCTGGGTCAGATATTCATGTTGTCTATGAATTGTAATAACTTTGGTGATCCGTTATCATTTCAACTAGCGGCATCAAAATTGGCTAAATTACTGCTTTGTTTAATTTGTTCATGAGTAAACACCTGCAACTAATGATATTTCAACTTTAGTTGTACTTTGTTTTTAGTGTTCATTGGCAACTGTTAGCATGCTAACATGCTAAACTAAGATGGTGAACATTACGGCGCCATGTCATTGGTCCGACAGCCCATTGGTCCGACATCCCATTAGTCCGACGTCCCGTTGTTCCGATATGTGATTATACTAGGCTATATTGTATTTGTGTACCATAGAGGATCAGCAACGCAACAAAAGTAGGCTACTGGTCGAGGTACAAGTGTCATAGAGAGGAGAGAATGAAACAACATAATCTCCTGTTATTAACTCTGGGGTCGGGGGTTGTGTGGGGAGCTCTCTGCAGTGCTGAACGGCTCCCAGCGTATTTCTGCCTTGATGGTGCGCCACGACCGGCTCTGGGTCACCTGGGAAAGGCTTGAGGCGAAGCAGGCTCACAGCTTATGTGTTTGCCATTTTCTTTTTCATTTTAACCAACACCAACACCATGATCTTTTCCTAACCCTAACCCTAACCAAGTGGTTTTTGTGCCTAAACCTAACCAGACCTTAACCACAGGGCATCATGATGATTTCGGAACAACGGGACTTCGGAACAATGGGTTAAATATGGTCGGAACAATGGGATGTCGGACCAATGGATTGTCGGACCAATGGGCAGACCCCGAACATTACCTGCTTAGCATCTGGTGTTGCCGCTTGGCGACATTCACCCTAGATTTAATGACTTTTCGGGCCCTCCTAGCAGCTAGCAGCAAATTTAGCAACTTCTTCAGACCATCAGAGAAAGAGCGAGGAATATACAGTACAGGCCAAAAGTTTGGACACACCTTCTCATTCAATGCGTTTTCTTTATTTTCATGACTATTTACATTGTAGATTCTCACTGAAGGCATCAAAACTATGAATGAACACATGTGGAGTTATGTACTTAACAAAAATAGGTGAAATAACTGAAAACATGTTTTATATTCTAGTTTCTTCAAAATAGCCGCCCTTTGCTCTGATTACTGCTTTGCACACTCTTGGCATTCTCTCGATGAGCTTCAAGAGGTAGTCACCTGAAATGGTTTCCACTTCACAGGTGTGCCTTATCAGGGTTAATTAGTGGAATTTCTTGCTTTATCAATGGGGTTGGGACCATCAGTTGTGTTGTGCAGAAGTCAGGTTAATACACAGCCGACAGCCCTATTGGACAACTGTTAAAATTCATATTATGGCAAGAACCAATCAGCTAACTAAAGAAAAACGAGTGGCCATCATTACTTTAAGAAATGAAGGTCAGTCAGTCCGGAAAATTGCAAAAACTTTAAATGTGTCCCCAAGTGGAGTCGCAAAAACCATCAAGCGCTACAACGAAACTGGCACACATGAGGACCGACCCAGGAAAGGAAGACCAAGAGTCACCTCTGCTTCTGAGGATAAGTTCATCCGAGTCACCAGCCTCAGAAATCGCAAGTTAACAGCAGCTCAGATCAGAGACCAGATGAATGCCACACAGAGTTCTAGCAGCAGACCCATCTCTAGAACAACTGTTAAGAGGAGACTGCGCCAATCAGGCCTTCATGGTCAAATAGCTGCTAGGAAACCACTGCTAAGGAGAGGCAACAAGCAGAAGAGATTTGTTTGGGCCAAGAAACACAAGGAATGGACATTAGACCAGTGGAAATCTGTGCTTTGGTCTGATGAGTCCAAATTTGAGATCTTTGGTTCCAACCGCCGTGTCTTTGTGAGACGCAGAAAAGGTGAACGGATGGATTCCACATGCCTGGTTCCCACTGTGAAGCATGGAGGAGGAGGTGTGATGGTGTGGGGGTGTTTTGCTGGTGACACTGTTGGGGATTTATTCAAAATTGAAGGCACACTGAACCAGCATGGCTACCACAGCATCCTGCAGCGACATGCCATCCCATCCGGTTTGCGTTTAGTTGGACGATCATTTATTTTTCAACAGGACAATGACCCCAAACACACCTCCAGGCTGTGTAAGGGCTATTTGACCAAGAAGGAGAGTGATGGAGTGCTGCGGCAGATGACCTGGCCTCCACAGTCACCGGACCTGAACCCAATCGAGATGGTTTGGGGTGAGCTGGACCGCAGAGTGAAGGCAAAGGGGCCAACAAGTGCTAAACACCTCTGGGAACTCCTTCAAGACTGTTGGAAAACCATTTCAGGTGACTACCTCTTGAAGCTCATGGAGAGAATGCCAAGAGTGTGCAAAGCAGTAATCAGAGCAAAGGGTGGCTATTTTGAAGAAACTAGAATATAAAACATGTTTTCAGTTATTTCACCTTTTTTTGTTAAGTACATAACTCCACATGTGTTCATTCATAGTTTTGATGCTTTCAGTGAGAATCTACAATGTAAATAGTAATGAAAATAAAGAAAACGCATTGAATGGGAAGGTGTGTCCAAACTTTTGGCCTGTACTGTATTCATATACATTATTGCATGCTGCTCAGAGTATTCACAGTCCTCGACTCCTCTGCCGACAGCGCCACGTCTTTCTTGCTCTTTCCTGCGTTGCAACACTGAACAGGAAGTCAGTGGTTGTTGGGCTGGCAGCAGGAGAGGAGACGCTGCTCATCGCACTGAGTTCGCTTAAAGTTGTTTTTTATGGTTACATTGACACTCTTTGTCTCGGGATTGGAGGCGCGAGAAAGCTCTTATTGCAATCAAATGTTTTGTTGATGATTTTTCTATTGAATTCTCATTCAGCAAAGTTGTAAAACACTTCTATTATCCCAAATAAATATGTGATGACATCACCAATATGCAAACAAGCACATGATGTTGTCTGGCGACCTTTAGTGTCTTTTGGAACTAGTTTCATTGGAAAGAGTTGGCAACACTGTTAGCATAGGCATGTTAGCATGTGAGTATGTTAGCATACTGTTGTGAGCATTTAGCTCAAAGCACCACTTTGTGTAAGTGCGGCACAGTGATGCTAGCATGGCTGGTGATGCTGTGCTTTGATAGAGCTGTTGCTCAAATATAATGTTAAGACTATGTGCTAATTGAAAGACAGGCAGTAGTGTGTGACAGCGTGAACACACTCCGCCATGGTGTTACAACTGTTAATTAGAATTAACTGCTGTTAAAATAGAGACCAGAGAAGCCATTTCTTATTTGGAAACACATGTTGTATTATTTTTTTTCTATTCATCTTAAATCTTATTCTTTAGAAACATTCATACGACTTATAATTACCATTCGTATCATCAATGTGCCTGTGATTAGTGGGACCTAATCAATAAAAAAACATGACAGAGTGTCGACATCCAGCAGCAGAAGGTGTAAAAATACGTGTGAATCACACTTAACATACTCACTTTTACTTTGTCTTATTGAGTGTGTGTGTGTGTGTTCTGTCTATCAGGTGGTACCACGGCTCACTGTCGCGGTCGGAGGCAGAGTCGCTGCTAACACTGTGTAAAGAGTGTAGCTACCTGGTGAGGAACAGCCAGACCAACCGCTCTGACTACTCTCTGTCCCTACGGTAAGACATAGAGACACACACACACACACACACACTGACCCACCATAACGAGTGAAGCAAACACCTGAGCGCCTTCAGTATCGTTCCCCAAAAAACAGTGTTACAGTTTAATTGCACACTTATCATTTCTTCTGCCGTGCGACTGTGAAGTGTGTGAAGTGTGTGTGAAGCCACCTGAGCCACCAATCTCATATCGCAGTCTCCACACCTCTCCATCTGTCTCTCCCTCCTCCGTCTCCCTCCCTCCCCTCCACCGTCACCCCCACTCAAGATCACTGCCGCACTGATTCCTCTCCCGATACTCATTTGCAGGGCACAATACTGCTTATCTGGTCAAATCTCTCCCTTGTAATTACTACCATGATCCATCGTCCCCGGACTCACAGCGCCCTCCCGTCGTCCCTCTGTCCTCACCCCATCCTTGGCCCCTCTCTGTGGCCATCCTCTGTGGCCCCAGTGGGCCCTCTAAGTGGTAATCAGGCAGGTAGAGCACACTTCAGTGCACACATCATCCTCCCCGTAATCACTAATGAATATGAATTACCTTCTGTGGGCCACACAAGAAGGGAATGAGGGAGGGAAGGGAGAGAAGGGAGGGAAGGGAGGGGGATGAGGCACAGAGTGACACTGTGTTGGGCTGACATACAAACAAGCTAATGTATTACTCATTTACATGACCAAAGTGGGTCTGACACACACACGCTCACATGCACATTTGCTCAAGCAACAAGGTCATTTCTGGTGCTTGTTCCCCAGCTGGCACATGTGAGGTTTGGAACATGTTATATCTCTCACAGACTCCAGAATTTTACTTGGTTAGACAGTGGAGCTGTCCTTCATTGAAGTAGACCTATGCAGAATCGTCGGTTACAGTTTGTAAACACGCTCACCACTGAAAATGGAAGTGAAAGCCAACTCCAGATTCACTCTAATTTGGCGTCTTGCCTCGCTATATTCATGGTTTTTTTGGCACTGTGTCTCTTGGATGCCTGCTGCTCATGGTCTAGCACCTGGTTGCTACCTTTTTACAAAGCCTCAACCTCACCTGAGCGCAGTGGAGGTACATGCCCATAAATGTCCCGAACACAGAATGTAGGAAGAAAATAAAAAAATGCAGGCAGAGGGCAGAGTCTCACACACTTCTAGTGGGTCATAAGTGATGATGACACAATCTGAAAAGAGTTGAAGCTGCTTAGATCTTAAATTAGCTTAAGGGAAACTCATACAGCCTTTATTTTCTTAGTTTTGACCATCACTGTAATCAGTAATAATAAACTTGACTTAATTGCTGGATTCCAGGGACGCAACATCCCTAAAAAGAAGTCGGACAGAGCAAGAAACAGGAGCCATCTGATGATCAAACGGGTTTAAACAAAGCTCCTGATTAGCTTGACGTAAGAGAAGGAGACGCAGGAGAACAGATAAATATTACTCAAACTCATAAACATCAATCACAGTTTAAAGACTTTGACCTACTTTCATCTTCCCTGTACACGCACACAGTTTCCCTGTGCAGTAAGGGATTTTTACCAGTGTCTTTGGTGTGCTCACTTGTTGTTTTGGCGCGTATGAAATTGTCTGCATGTTTTAAATGTGGGAAGCCCCTTTCTGCGTCTCACACATTCTTCCCCGCGTCCTCCATTTTTGTTGACCACAACGGACTAACCTCGAGAGTAGTCTTGTGTCAGGTATTTTGCATCAGGGCCATTTACTGTAAACCTAAGTGCTCTCGCCTTCTGTTTGTCTTGTGCCTGGACAGGGTTTATGACTGAAAGCTTATGTGTGTAATTAAACAGAGAGAGAGGAAGTTGTTTTTGTAGCACTTGTTATTGTTCTTCAAACACTTGGCAAAGCCTTTCAGCCAGGTGACTGCTGGACACTTTATTCCTTTGGCTTTAGATAATAAGGTTGTAAACCACTGCTTGTTTGTTTGATTGTTGGATATCTGTAATTACTTCTGAGGGTACGGCGTCAATATGACAGATAAAAATGGCAAATGTACAAAAATAAGACCCACATAAACTGAAATTTTCCTTTCATGTCTGCAGTTTGACAGAAAATATAATTTTCCATCATGTCTGTGTCTAGACTGGGAAGAAACAGTCTTTATCAGGTTGTTGTTGGATACTCACACCACCTTTGTGATGTCTACAACCTGCAATAAAGACAGCCTGTGTAATAACAACCAATGTGAGCAAAATTACATGAAATAAAGTGGCACTGTGCGCTTTTGTCATTGTGCTGCTCCTTGGAAAAAGTGAGCCACACCTGCTGTAAGATTACACAGTGCCGTGGACAATGGGAGGAATGATGAAGGCTGTTTAACGGAGACAAAACGAAGAAGCACTCCGAAATGAGTCAGCGCTGAAACAGCCAGATTTAAACCAACATGAATATTTATGGAAGAGCGCTGGTAATGTACCGTGAGATACAAAGAGTCCCCAAAACAAACAGGACTGGATGAAAGCACGCTGTCAACTCTGAGCGCTGACGTGATGAAGCATCTGGCTCGCAGTGCTCCGGAGGCCAGTGGGACGCTCATAAACTGCCTGTTGTTTGGCTGTTTGTAGTCCCAGTGAGTGTTTCTCTTGGTTTCACTGCTCTTCAAAATTTAATTTGATTTACTAGAACAATGACGAGTCTTAACCCTTGTCTTTCCCTCAGCTTCTATAATTAGACATACATCATGGCTGACTGGCTCTTAAAGAGGAAGTCCTGTTGTGGCTGCCTGGCACTTAAAGGGAGGAGGCCAGTGTGGTTCCCTCGGCTAAGCCACTTTCACAGTCCAGCGTTCTCACTCTCTCCCTCTGGCTTCGTCTTTCCCTCCGAGAACTATTACGCCACTCATTCATCCATCATAATGTCCCGTCCTTCCCAATTTGTGACATGGTGTTAAATCTTGGTTAGAATCATATCCTCAAAGTGCAGGAAAAAGTCATGAACATAAATCCAGGCTGTCATTTCCACTGTGTCATTATATGACAAAATGTGTGGTGGGCACGATGTTTTATGTGCCCCACATTTCCTTTCCCCCACTCCTTTCTCACTTTCATATTGAATCTCTCACACTCTCTTTCTTCTTTTGTCTCCCTCCTTTCTCAGTCCATTCATGCATCCTGTTTCTTTTTCTCACAGGAGCTGCCAGGGTTTCATGCACATGAAGTTCACCCAGTACAAAGACGGCAAGTACGTGCTGGGGCAGAACAGCCCCCCCTTTGACACCATCCCAGAAGTCATCCACTTCTACACCACACACAAACTCCCGATCCGAGGCGCCGAGCATCTGTCCCTGCTGTTCCCCGTGCTGGTGCAGACGCTCTGACGCTCCTCCTGGACCTGCAGGATTTTCATTGTGGCCGGACACGTAAAACTTGAATGTTTTATGGGATCTTCCCAGTGGAGAACCAGTGCTCTCTTCTTGTTGGACTGGACTGCTTTTGATGATTCAACACACCAGGGGCTAATGCCCTCACCCACCACTGCTGTTGTACCTGTGCCAAGTGTCTCTAACATCCGGGGGATCCATTCACATGAAACGCAATACCTGAACTTTAGGCCACCTTTGCTCTAACTCCTCTCCCTCTCTCATCTCCGTGCTGAACTGAGGGGGCTGACTTCAGGACATGTGAAATTCTCCCTCTCCTTATTACATGTCTTTCACAGCTGACTGAAATGCAAAGTACGTTAGCCGAGCTGTAGCTGGGAGACAGCCTGTATCACCTGAATGTACTGATGCCCCAGTTTACAGGAGCTTTAATTACTGCTGTTCCACAATAAACACCTCATTGACACTGGTTAAAAATATTGCTGTTGTTCGGTGAAAACCTCACTGGTCGCTGATTTTTCATGTTTATATGAATCAATAAATTTTACTGTACAAGATGAGAAACCTTTTTCATCCTTGGGCTCGGGAGACCCTTTTGTAAATGCTGGAAAATTCCCATTTTCCACTCAAAAAGACGAATGCTATTTTCAAAGATTTAAGGTTTTTACCAACAGCAGTTATATTTCAGATGCTTTTCTACACAGACACACCTGCTCATTCTCACCCAGTCTGTCCTGCACTGTCATGCTGCTGTACGCTGAAAGATTTGCTTGACACATCTCCATGTTGCTTGTTGATTGTTCATTGTGAGTAACAGACAAGCTGTGTTGTTGTTGGTACTTGTGTTGACCTCGCTGACCTGTATCTCTTGTTTGTTGCTTACATTGCATTTGGTAGACAATGCTGGGTTTGTAAAAAGAAAAAGAAAAAGGCCAAGCAACCTGTCACTGCTGTCACTGTCTCCTCACTGACGAGCTGTAGGCTACATCTGACGCAAAGAGACACTAATCAGGAAACAAGCAAACTCTCAAACTGTGGAACTGTTGGCCGCGTCCTCACACTTCCTACATATTTGAGCGAAGATTTTCCAGCTGGCCAAGTCATTACATGCTGGTTGGTGAGTTGTATTAGAGTTAGATGCTTGCCATCTGGAATGGGTTTCCATATCTGCTGCCTGGTTGCAGCGTTGTGTGGGAACAACTGATTTTAGAGGAGTGCCAACTTCTACGGAACACATTGGAAATGACAAATGGAAAAAAATTATTTAAATCATTACTTCTGAATCCAAAATTGACTGGGTTGTATTAATTATTATTGTGGCCATTTTCTGTCACCAATAAAAGATGACAGGATGTATAATTTACCTGCTGTGTTGAAGCGTTTCATTGATCTTCAAAGTGGTTTTATGGAGTGTTTATTCTACATGTAGATCTTTATGTAGATCAGTGGTTTCCAACCCGGAGGCTGGGACCCCCACATGGGGTTTAGAGATGAATCGTGTTGGGAAATAATGAAAAACTCAATTCTGCTACACACAATCATGTTTATTTTCAGACTGGTGTCTAGCTTTTGTTTATTTCTTGTGAAAAACTCTGTATTTTTTTACTCTTCTTTAGGCCTCTGAAAACAATCAGAGGAAGGGAAAATCCTCTTGATTCAAAACCAAAATACGGCTTTTCTGACTGAGAGTATAGGTGATCGCATTTTACACAACAGACTCATCAGACTCACACAGAAACAGGGAAAAGAGGCACAAAGGACTTGGCAAGATTGCGTGCTCCACACACTCAGACGCACGCACATTTGCTTTCCCTCATCCACTGACAGCAGGGTTGGGAGGGAGTTGGGTGAGGGCTTGGGGGGGTGAGGTGTGGCTGAGGAGGGGTGAGGCAGCCCTCATTATTTGGGCTGCGCCGCAGTGAAAAGCACTGGGATTGCTTTCATTACTGAGCCAAATGAAATAGCAGAGGCTGATTACCCGCGTGACGGAGAGAGGAGACGAGCTGGATCACTCTCTATTGGGGAGAAAGAGTGAAGGAAGAAAAAAACAGGGGGAAGGAGGGAGATGAGGGGAAGGGGGAAGGAGAAGGGGGGTGAAAGAGAGACGCTGCCTGGCTGTACTTCCCCGATGAGACTCCAAACAAGTGTGTGCGTGAGCGTGGGTGTTTGTGAGTGTAAGAGAGAGAGAGATGGTGACATGGGGGGGGGGGGGGGGGGGGGG